TCACCATGCATCCAAAATGAAGTCACCGAAGTTTTTCTGGTTTCATTTTTCTTATGGTCCAAAAACATTTTCATTTCCTAATCATTTTTTTTTCTTCCGTTAAAGTCCAAACACACTTTCCGAACTGGAAACACTTTCCTCCAGGTCATTGAATTGAATAAACACATTGTTCTCTCAAACAAAAGGCTTCTGTGTCTAGAATCAACACACGTTTGTCTCTGCATTTTACAGGACGTACAAATCCATCCAATATTATCACTTGATTTTCATCAGCCTGACAACTTCTTTGAGTAAACATTGTGGGTTCTCTTCTCAAAATGATACATACATACATACATATTATTCTAGCACGTTGGTTAAATAATTTAAACGTATTATGTCTATTTATTTTAGTCTTAATCCTTTCAAGTCCACAAATTAATTTCTTTGTCGCTGCAGAAAATTGATTATGAAAAATTTCAAAATACGTCTAAATTATTTAACCAAACATGGTTGAATGAAAATATGATGCTTTTATTTTTTTTTTAAGTAATTCATCCCAAGCAAGGCAAGAGTGCCACTAGTATGCAAGGGGCTACAGAGCATGTAAATGTGGGAAAAGACTGGCTAGGGTTGAGGAAAGGATAAAAAAAAAGAACTGGGGGGTCAAGGCAACTGGAGATGTCAATTGACATTACATTTAAATTCTTGAAGATTATAGTTATCAGGGAAGCAAGTAAGAGAAGGAAAATGTTAAAGAGTTTAGGTGATTATTTTTAAGCTGGTTTAGGTTTATATTTTTGGTTGCTTATTGTTATGTTGAGTTACGCTGGTAAGGGAAAGGCCTGAAGTAATAGAAGCAGTCAGTCATCAAATGTGGCATGAGTATATATATTATAGTTGTGGATATAATTATTCACCCCTGGTTCCAGAAATACAACTAAATCTGTAATGTAATCAAATTTTCATAGAAACTTCAAGTGCATTTTTCATAAATAATGAAATAATGGATTTGAAAGAATTTGCAGTGATACCCACAATAAAATTTTTATTTTAATGCCAAACAATAATACAAAAAAAAAAAAAAAAAAACCATCAAAAAAACATTTAACATAGGATAAAATTGTCCCTTTTGCCTCAATAATCAATTGTGTAACCTTTATTCTTGATTATTGTCTTTAATCATTTTTGATAGTTCATTACAAGATCACTACACACATTGATAGGTATTTTGCTCCATTCTTTCTTGGCAACAGTTTCTAGTTCCTGCAAATTCAAAGAACTTTTTTCTCTTGCTTTTTTTCTTCAAATATGCCCATAAATTTTCAATGGAGTTTAGGTCAGGACAATATATGCAAATACCTTAACTTTGTCATCTAAGTATTTTGTAACAATTCATGCCACATGTTTCAGGTCATTGTCATGATGGAATGTCCAGTGACACCCCAAAGACAGCTTTCGTGAACTTTGCTTTATATTATTTTTAAGAATAGCCAAATACTGCTCTTTATCCATGATACCCGTTGTTGCAGAATGAAAGAATTACCGCACTATGTGGCAATCAGATATTGTCTTCTTCATTACCTTTCAGCATGTTATAAATCAGGTCAATACTATTTCATTTTCAAAGGGTGTTTGTATTAAATGTCAGATTAAGAAAAAAAATAACATTACATTTACCATAGAGCAATATTATTTCATAATTTTCATTGGGAGTTGGAGAATAATTTTGGACTACACCAATTTCTGGAAAAATCTATGACAATGAATGTAATAGATTGAAACTTCTAAAAAATTAATGAATTATACAAAACTAAATATAGAATCAACTATTTATGGTAAATTCAGCAAGTATTCGCAAATATTCACATTTCCTAAGAGATTATGCAAATATTCAGTGGGGACAAATAATTCTGTCTACAATTACATATCTATATATCTTATTCCTTTTCTTTCAAGCCTTAATTCATAAGATATTTTTTTTTATTTTGGATAAACTACACAACCTCCAAGTATTTCTGGTCTATTTAGGTCAAATGTCCAGTCTTTGCACATTAAACTTGCAAGGTTAACTCCATTCCTACCAGCTATCAATTGTAGATTTTGATTACTTGCAAAATTCCTGCAATGTGTAAGACATACTGCATGGGTATAAAACCCTGCTCATTCCTGCACCCTGAAGAGGATTCTCCAGCATCACTTCTCCACAATGGCAAAACACAGGAAGCAACAGTCTATGGATGAGAGGATTCTAGAGATTCCTCTGTATAGTGAACTTGCCACAGGTATGAGGACAAACTCATATTCACTTCAAGTATGTCTGCAAAATTGACATTAGGGCAATGGATATGGATATTGATAGGTGGGAACATATTGCCAATGATTGCTCATGCTGGAGATGCCATTCATACCAAGAGCAGGAGTGAGGAGAGAGGAAACAGTGGTTTGACGTCAGGGTGAAGCATGCTTAAAGGAAAGAAACATGGCAACATCAGGAGAAGTATCTTCATATGCATTCATTACAATTGAGACTGTCACTCCTGTGTGGGATTGTACAGCTATAGCAAATGCTGTGCTGCCATCTGCATCTGAGGCATACCTTTTTGGGAGCAGGTCCATAATCTCTTGAGACCAATGGATTATATATATATATATATATATATATATATATATATATATATATATATATATATATATATATGTGTGTGTGTGTGTGTGTGTGTGTGTATGTATGTGTGTGTGTAAAAATATATAGAAAATAGGAAAGAATTCGTTCGGTAAATAATCCAAAGTTCTTTAGTATTTTTGTTATTATTTTTAAAAAATAGTGCTCGATACAAAAGTAGAGCATAAATATAATTATTAATTTAAAAATATGAATCCAACGCTACATAAGAGTTTGATTCCCCAAAAAATTTCGCTTGAAGATGGAACAGAGCTTAGTACTTTAATTCAATTTAATTTAAATAATTATATTGAAGTTTTCGGCTCTTGTTTTGAAACATGAGAACTCTTATGTAGCATTGGAATCATATTTTTAAATTAATAATTATATATATATGTGTGTGTGTGTGTGTGTGTGTGTGTGTGTGTGTGTGTGTGTGTGCGATGGATAAATTGTCATCTAAATTATGAAAATAATACTGACATCTCATTTTAAGAGATATATTTACCAAAATTAGACAAAAATATCTTGAAATACTAAAGAGTAAATTTATTCAATGAAAATCACCATTGGCATCAACCACAGCCAGACAAGTCCAGAATCTCCAACAACTATTCTGGACGGTCTCCTTGTTTAAGTTGGTGGATGCTTCCATAATCTTTGGTGTTACAAGGTGTTTTGTTGGTCTCCCACTCAACTGTGCCCACCACATAATAATCAAGGGGTGCAGTCTGGGAAGTTAGGTGGTCAGATGTGAGGGGTGATGTAATCGCAGAAATTGTTTGACATCCAAGACAGGGTTCTCCTGCTTGTGTGACATGGTGCAGAGTTCTGTTGCCAGACATAGGGTTTTCTAGCAGCTACCTTCTTGATCCGGGGCAGCACAACCTCCTCAAGGCATTTGATGTAGGCCTCTGTGTGAGTCTGAGGCCTTCTGGGAAGATGAATGGAGGCATAATGTTGCCATCACTAGTGATCACTCCAAACACCATGATGTTGACTGGATATTTGGTTTTCATCACTCTTGGTACATCTTTTGGGGACACAACAAGCCAGTAGTTGTTCTGTGAGTTCAACATCTTATCCTGGTAAAAATTTTTTTCATCTGTGAAAAACCAAAGCATGTTTGGTTGGAGAGGATGCTAGAGTGTGTTCAGAAGTTTCATAGCATAGTCTTTCCTCTTGTCTTTCATACCTTGGGATAAAAATTGGCCCTTTCTCATCTTGTCTTCATGCACTACCTGCCTGATAAGAAACTGACACTCCTGTGTTCCTGGCGATGGATCTGATGGAGTTGAAGGGATCGTTGTCAATCATGGCCTGGATCTCACCAACAAATCCAGGACTTCTTTTCTTATCAGAACAATCAGAGTGAGTTTTCCAAGCTGCTGTACCTTCGTAATCACCATTAGACTCATCCAACTCTTTCTGAATCCTCTGCACTGTCCTCAGATAGACACCCAAACACTCAAAAATGTTCGTATTGGAGCTTCTGATGCAAATACCAAGCAGTGCAGCATGCCATTTCTAAATTTCTGATGAAGCGAATTGCATCATGATGCTCTTTTTCTCACAGACAGTAACCAACTGACCCTATTATACTGTGCAGTTGACAAAATCAAAAACAAGCAATGCACATGCATGAAATGAGAAATATAAAATGGCAGCAATTTACCCATGGTACCCTGTATATGAGAGAAAATGGCATATGAAAGTTCATATATCAGGAGAATATGAGGAAAACTGATGACAGAATAAGAAATAAATTTTTTCATGTGATGCGTTTCGTCATTTAGAATATCACTGGACTAAAGTGATCTTTACACTGATATGATTACATATACAGATGAAGGAGAGGGGAGGCTGAAATTAAAAATTTTATTTTTTATGTGTTTAGCCATTTTGATTAAGTTTGTGTTTGCTTTTATCTCTTTTGTTATTAAGTGTCCAACATTGTGATAGTAGAAAATCTGCAAGGAAAAGTGAAATAATGTAAGAATCTGGATACTAATTTACTGTGGATGAAACACTCCATACACTTTCATCTTCATAAAGTGCTTCCTCTTTTAATTAAATTGGCATTTTTTAAATCAAAATTATGGTCAAACTCATTACAGTGAGTGTGTTGTTTTGTATAAGATCTGTTTTATGTTTGCATAATCTTTTATTTCTATTCCTTGAGGTTTCTCCTATGTATTCTTTCTGACAATCATCACAGGTGATAGAATAAATTCCTTTTTCAAGCTTCTGATTTTCCTTTTTCATTGTGGCAGAGTTGAATGTTTTTACAAGGCCAAGTTTCCACTCACCCTCAACAAGCCACAAAAAAAAACATAAATAAAATAAAATTACTTACACCAGGGTGATCTTTCTCCATAGAAGACAGTGAAATGTTCTGTGGGGTTTGCCAGACCTACAGTTAAAAATGGAAGAAGCATTATGAAATTTATTTTCTTGTTTTCTTCAAATAGGACCACCATTTCTTTTCTCAAATTTAACTAAAGTGATCCTTGGATTTTAAACATTTATTTTCTAATAGCAACACAGATTATTAATGCTTAACAAAATCTTGTTACGAACCAGGCTCAATGTTGTTTAACTTCGGTGATCGTATGGGGACCTGTGTGATATGGTCATAAGCAGTAGATTATCGGAGTTTAACACATTTAAAGGTGAGCAGATTTTTGTAAAGAAAGTGGTCACTATTAAAGAATAGAAAAAATATTAGCTAGAGAAAAGTTTGAAAGACTTATCTTTCTGATTTCAATTTTTACAGATACACTATTTGTCAGGTTATCAAAAGATTTATCTGAATGATAAGCAGTCTATCTGAAAAAGTTCAAGTTAGAAAAATAAGTCTTTAGAACTTTTCTTTATACATTAACTATATTTATTTTTTGTAACTTTATTTTATCGAATCAATTACTTCGTTTACTACTGAGAAAGTTTGTTCACTGTGTCGTGCCAGGCTTTTTTTCTCTTCAGAATCCATCTTGCACGTTTATAAATCTACCATTAATCTCTGCTGTGACATCTGGTCTTGTGCTCCTGCTTTATATCTCGAGATTCAACAAAATCCAAAGTAGGGTCTGTAATGTTATCAGTCCTGACCTGGCATCTCAGCTTCAGTCACTTTCCCACAACTGTAATGTGGCATCCCTCTATCTTTTCTATAAATATTTTCATGGCAATCGTTCTAATGATATTTCTTTCACTGTACCTTGAACTGAAGTTAAGCACAGTACTAGATTGGCAAGTAGGTCTCATCATTTTCCTGTGGAAATAGCTAGAGGAGGTAACTCTAAGTTCTATTCTAATAGTCTCTTCTCTCACACTTCTCACCTGTGGAGCTCTCTTCTAGCTTCTTGCTTCTGTCACTCGTAATCTTCAAAAATTTAAATGCAATATCAATCAGCATCTTCTGTCTTCCTGAAACTTGTTATTTTATTCTCACTAATGTCTTCTCATTTTCATTCACTATCAGTAATCTGTTGTGTCTTAGTGGCTTCATTGCTTTGCTTGGGATGAAATGATTAAGGAAGAATATAAAATTTTTTTTTTATATACTGATTTTATATATTTCTAAAGAAGTAACAATTTTTAATAACATTTCTCAAATATTCAGTTTGGTAAATAAATATACAGTTTAATAAATAAATGGAGCATCTATTCAAATATAGGTATCCATTAAAATAACATTTAAAGTGATTATATATATATATATATATATATATATATATATATATATATTATAAATTAACTGATTTAAAATATGTTTTTTACACAGTAATAACCATGTTTCAAAAATGGAAGAGCTTCAAATTTAATTATGTAATTAAATTAAAACATTAGTTCCAGTTTATCCTCTTACGAATTTTGGAGTAACTTATTTTTAAAATTTACTGAGTTTTAAAGGCACAGAAAAATTCATAATTCACTGTTTCCAAGGATACAGAGAGATCCAATCATTCAGACAAGGGGTGGTAGCATTTTCATTTTTATTAACTTTTACTGTATTAGTTATGTTTAAGTAGGGTAGGGATGTATTTTTCAATGAATTCTGACATCCGTTAAATGCATGTCGTCTGGGGTTTTTTCAAAATTTTATTGTTAACGGCAAAACATTCTTATGGCATTTTTTCTATTTGTATACTTATATAAGATTCTCAATTTTACTGTGAAATTAGAATTTAATTATTTCATATTGATTTCTAGTTTAATCCAACATCAACATTAATACACTAAAGGTTTGTATTTAGAATATACTGTCACGTTTTGGAATTTTCATATACTTGTATTATGATTGATTGTCATAGGTTACATAACGTTTCCCCTATTGGGAGGGGGATTTGGTTTTGAATTTTCAAAAAACTATTTTGCAATCAACACCATCACTTGACAAGACATCAGATGTGTTGAAACAAAATGGCTATTTTTGTAGTGATGTTATAGCATGCATATGTTATAATTTTTGAATAAATATTTTTTGCTCTGCTTTGTATTGAGCACTATTTTAAAAAAATAGTGTTTTTGATTATCAGAATTTTATTCCATCTATAGCAACCCTTTACTTATATACACACACACACACACTCAGAAATACATATATATGTAAAGAAAGGTGATAAATTTTTTTTTTTATTTATTCGTCCAACAGCTTTTTATCACTTTTAGTGGATACTCATACTTGAGTAGATGGTCTATTTATTTATTAAACAGTATAGTTATTTATTTTTGTCTAACAACCTGAATAGTCAAGAAATCTTATTTAAGAAAAATGTGCTCTCCAGATGGATTAATAAATCAAAAATCCATCCCTTTCTTTAAAAATTGCTTTGTTTACATTAGGGTATAAAACTGAACAGATATGTCTATTTCAAGAGTCAGAGAAAAATCTGTGTTTAAAGGCATTAATCAACTTTGCTTGAACACACACACACACACATATATATATATATATATTTTATGTTAGTCACACCACAAACTCACTTTTACAACACTTGACACTACATTTGAATGAAAACTCTAACATTTTTAGGCATTTAAAACAACATGCCTGGCCACATACACAATTCCGGAAAATCCTTGTCGAAAAACACAATTATACTTTAACATGAAAATAGTAAACAAAAACTAAAAATTCTTGAAGCTATATACATAACACTGTTGAAACCTAACCTGAACAAAATAAACTATGAAATCTCCACAAATATTCTTAAATGCCTATAATTGATAACAGAAGCCATTGGTTTATACCAACGGCTTCTCATACTTAATACTTCTCGTTTTCACTCTCGCGTGGTCATGTGTGACGTCATGAGCTGCAGTGTGATTTTCGCTTCCAGCGTCTTATATGTTTATCATTGCTTGGAAATCATCCATGTAAACAGAAACAGACTATCATCACATTCTTGTCCGTGTTTTGCTTAATATATTGTACTGTAATTGTCATCTTTGATAATGGCTTATGTAAGCCGAAAGCTTAGATTGGATTAAAATATGTGTATCAATATTGTGATTTTCTTTTTTCGTTTAATGATAATGTTATTAAGCTTATCAGAGGTTATGAAAAGAATTTACATAAAATAAATAGACAACACTTGTCTATATTATTTAATGAAACATGTTTGAATGAAAAATGCTGCCTAAATACACACAATATATATATATATATATGTGTGTGTGTGTGTATATATATATATATATATATATATATATATATATATATATATATATATATATATAAAAATGGACTCTTCATATTGTACAGTTTACATTTGTAAGGCATAAAACCAGCTCAGCTTTTGTAAATCATGCCATATCTTATGCACACAAAATGTTAAACGGAGATAGTTTTCTTCTGAATTTGCCTTAAGATTACTTATATGCTCAATCCTTGTGTGAATGTGACTAAATGCCACAGAGGAAGTATGGTGGAGTAATGGATAGCAGCTCGGATTGAGGAATCCGAGAGCCGAGTTTGAATTCCATTCGAATCCATTACATTCACTTACATGCTAATATCCATGGGAAAGGTATGAATCCTCTTCTTCTCCCCCCAGCTATGGATAAATAGCAAAACAGACCAGGTTCTATAGCCTTGGATGGCAACTGGTCTACTGCAGGAAAAAATGGCAACCTACTGCGGGAAAAAAATCTGCCTCGTCAGTCATGTATCAAAAGATACATGATCACCTAAACGTGTATCATGCATGGCACATAACTGACTGACATCACATACTGCAGTCCACAGCATACTCCTCAAACTCCAATGATTGTATTCCAATATTCCTATAATTCTAGATTAGTACCTTGCCAGCCATTTTAAATGAAACTTGTATAAAAGAGGGATTGCTGCCCAATACACAATTATATATTTTTGTTTGTCAGATATATTCTGATTACCTGCAAGAGAGATGTTGTGGGTGTAGTCACTATCACAGGTTTCTTTACTTTCATACACAGAGCACATACTCAAATTTCAGTTTCAAAATAATTGTCCCTGTTCCACAGTCACTGACAATCTTACATGGCAACAAGCAAAAATTATATGATTATCATAAAATCTTCTTTGTAATATAAAAAGAAAAGGACCCTGATCTTTTTATTGTTTCAGAATATATAGGCTTGCCAAACATGACAAACTCTACGGTACTGGCCAGAACTTTGATGACCCAAATTGTGTGGGGAGTGGTTTAAATGACCGTGGATATGAAAACCTGTTAATGATCGTCTTTAAATTTGAAAAGAAAACTGAAAAATTCACAAAAACAGTTTCAGAAGAGACACTTTGTCCAAGTTTTCACCATCCAAAGGAAATGCAGATGGTGTAATGGACAGTGGCTCAGAATGTGAAATCAGAGAGCCGAGTTCAAATTTTAGTCAGAATCATTAGACTCACTTACATGCAAAATACCTTGGAAAAGGTATGAATCCATTCCCCACTCCACAATGTACAAGTTAAACAGTAGGAGTCATATCTGGAAAATTATTATTATACTCAGAAAAATATTCATTAAAAAAAAAATTAAAAAAAAATATTAAAATCAAAAATATAACCTACAAAGTTTTGACAAGCTATAAAAAAAGAAATATCAATCAATCCCCCCCATGTGTTTTGTGCAGTTTGGTTTCAAGGGAGAGAAGCAAACCATCATTCTAGCTCCCTCTTGCACTCATTTCCTCCAAGAAATAACACTATTACTATGCCTCGCCTTCCTCCAATAAAGCAAGTAAAAAGAAACCTGAAGAAATTTTTTTTTTTTGCTGATTTAATCTGTGATGCAGCATTGGGGTTCCTACTGAGGACTTGCCAATAGACCACTAGAATCTAAAGATGGTACAAAATGTAATATTAGTGACTGAAAGAGAAATCAATATACTATATACTGACCTTCATCAAGGGCAAAACCAAGGTTCATTTTCTTGAATTCTTCTGTTTCCACGAACAGTTTCATGCCCAGGACTCCACCAATTTCTTCATCTAGATGAAAAGAAAAAAAAAAACATTTTGTTGGAAAAAAAAAATCATTTATTTAGAAATCAAAAAGTTAAAGAGAAAAATATAAAACAAGTTGCCAAATGTGATACAAGTTATTGTCAATGGAAAGCAAATAACTCAAGTACAATAAAAAGTTAAAGACAACTCAGAAATAGGCAGATAATCTCAGTATATATAACTATGATAAAAATATAGTTTTAAGGTATATGCTATATTTATGGGTTAAAGAACTCAATATCAACGAAAGAGCATATATAAATTGGATATTGAAATCAACAGCCAGCAGCAACAGGCACTGAAGATTGCATTTAAACACGAAACAGACTGTTGATGCTAGGTGTTGATCTAAATGTCCACTTTCATACACACATATATATATATATATATATATATATATATATATATATATACATACATGTCGAGATATATATATATATATTCATACACATTTCATTAAATAATATAGACAAAGCGTTGTCTATTTATTTTATGTAAAAAATTTACATAAAATAAATAGTCAACACTTGTCTATATTATTTAATGAAATGTATGAATGAAAAGATGCTGCTAAATACACACAATATATATATATATACACATGTCTATCTCTCTCTCTCTCTATATATATATATATATATATATATATATATATATATATATATATAATATATATATAATAATGGAATTTTTTTTTTTATTTTTAATTCAACATTTCTATTATTTCACACATTACTTTTAGTGGATACGTGTATTTCAGTAAAATGTCCTGTCTTTTAGTATTTTGTCAACTAGCCTTTGCATTTGAGAAAACTGAAAGAAATTGGGCCCTTCTGATTAAATAAACACTTTTTAAAAAACAGGAAATTTTATTCAAATACAGGTATCTACTAAAAATAATGTCTGAAGTAATATATATATATATATATATATTAGTGAATATACAAAATATCCAACATTGATAGCCTGACTCAGAATTTCATGCAGTTCTTGCAATCTTCACTAATATATACTTATATCTCTGTTGCATAACATTGAACACTGTATTTATAACACCTGGTTACTGGTAGCAGTGGTTAAGTACTTTGATTGAAACCCAATAGAGTATCTCTATTGCAGTATGCAAGCATGATACTCTTATGATTTTTAATAGGGAATTTTCCTTCTTCTAGACTGGTTGCCAACCATGACTAGAGAGCTCAGTCTCTGTCCTGCTATACATAACTGGTAGAAGAGAAAAGAGATTCATACCTTTCCCAAGAATATTTGGGAGCATAGAAGAAGGACAATTCTGAATTTGAAATCTTAAGAGTATCATGTGATGTGAAATCTAAAGAGTGAAGATGTTCATCAGAGTGATGAGGAATCATGTGACTTGCAAAATGCTTTCCTGAAATGTCTACTTCTGGTCTGTCTGGGATTAGGGTTTTATACCTGACGACTGGATTGCCTCCTAGACAGAGATTTGGATTTTAACAGTATGAGGTTTCATTTGTTGGTGTTAACCAATAAGAATGTTGTGTCCAATGAGGTAGATTTTTTTTTTTTTAAAGAGTCTGTTGCTATGTGGAAATCATACTGATTGAAAGGTGAATAAGGAGGTATGAGGTAGGAGTAGGTGAAAACAACAAACACCTGAAGAAGGCTTGGTGGGCATAGTAGCCAAAATGTTGTGAAAAATAACAAAGATGAGGATGTTAGAGAAAAACCAAACAAATAAGATATAATAAAGAATTTAAAAGGGGAGGAAGAGAAAGAAAAGTAAGTCATAAGATGAGCCAATATAATAAATCATTTTTATTTTATTAATGTATATATATATATATATATATATATATATATATATATATATATATATATATATATTTATTGATTTGTTTTCTTCTTCTTCCAAAAAACACCTTGTCTTGGCCACATATAGGAAGATCTGTACAACCAAGCATACCCGATCTATAACATCGAATAGCCCAAGTGAAGTCTTGATTAGTTGCCGTTTTCTGGGGGAACTTATATAAAGCACATCCTAAACCTAGTAGCAAATTTTATTCTGAGTACGGGCTGAATAATGATCATATTTGGTCGGGTTGCCCATCGAAGAAGTCTGTGGTTTATTTAGACCCTAAACTTCTAGTGACATTGGAGCAAAAACACTGATGACGCACCTAGATTCGGCACTTAAAGGTGTATTTTTAACAAGTTCAAATGTAAATAATGTAATTAATGGTAATTCCTTACCCTGGAAATTAATACAGAAATCAAAGATTGAAAATTTTAATAATTTGAAACAAAGAGAAAGGCAGTTCAAAGTAAACTGATAAGAATATTTAAATGAAGTACTTTGAAAATTTATTCAAGTTTTCTAGATGAGGAATTTTTTTTTTGGTATCACCCCATGCGAGGCAGCAAAACCACTAAGACACAAGGTGTTACAGGATGTGGAAGAATTAGGAACAGAAACATTAATAATGAGCGGGAAGAGAAAAAAACGTAATCGACAGTAGATAGCAACTGACATTGTATTTAAATTTTTGGAGGTTAAAGTTGGCTGGAAACCATGGAACCAGGAGGGAGTTAGCATAGAACTTACGATTACATCTAGACAGATTAACTGTAAATTGGTGAGATATTGATGCCAATCTAGTACTGCGCTTAAATTCAAAAAGTCTAGGTACAATAGCGAAGAGCTCATCTGAAGAATTACCTTGGAAGTATTTATAAAAATGACACAGCGAAGCAACTTTAGTGGTGGGAAAGTGACTGAAGCTGAGATGCCAGATTAGGACCAATAATATTTAAAGAAAAAATAATATTTAAAGAAAAAAAAAAATAAAATATCACACCTGGCATAAAAGTGAGATGAATGGTTCGCAACATTTTTTCTTTCTTCATTAACCTGCGGATTGCTTCAATGTACCTGGGTGAAAAAAGAATTGGAAAAAAGAATTTTCAAAAATAAAACAACAAAGACCATCTATTTGGAAAAGATTTTCTTTTAATGATGATTTCAATTCCAGAATTTATAAATAAAAAAAAAAAGAATAATATTGTAATTTTTGGCAGTCAAATTACAATCATTTCACTCCAAGCAAGGCAATAAAGACACTAAGATGCAAGGGTTACAGAGTGTCAAAGAATATAAGAAACATTATTAAGGAGTGAGAACATTAAAAGAGCTGTGGATAAAAACGTTGGTTGAAGTAATCCAAAAGTAACTTGACTCAAGAGTTCAAAGTTCAATACCTGGCCACAGCAGACGTGAATAAAAAACTTGATTGATATTACATAACATTTCAGTACTATTTTCTTTGTTTCTATTGCATAAAGACTGTTTTTCATCTATGAAGAGACTGTCCCACATTCCCTGCCACATAGGAGGACTAATATTATGTAATATTTCAGTACTCTTTTCTTTAAGCTAACAAAATTTTCCTGTTTCATAATACTTTGCTTAGCTTTGGGAAGACATCTTTTTCTATAGTTCTGCACAATATCATACATCAGTATTATTTCATTTTAATGAAAAAAATGCATTTCTTTATTAGAATCCTTAATGTTATCACTGACAGAATACAATTGACTAATAGAATTTGAGTATAGATTCAAAATTCACAAAAAGTCAAAATCAATCACATTTTATCTGGTGTGAATAAAACAATATTGTGATTGATCTGATAAGTGAGGAACGAGACTTGAAGTGTTTTAGCATTTGCTAGATGTGTTCAGAGTGGTAATATTTTCTAGATGTTTTCAGAGTGGTAATATTTGCATCTCTAAACACTACATTCTTAATCTCTTCAGGTCAAAGGTCAATCGTTATCTGTCCCCATTATCATAATAATCTTCACTTACTACGACCTCCTCTTTCATTCATATCATACACTTAATTCATCATTAGCTTTTTAATAGTAAATCTCTACTACGAGTGGCTCTCGAGCCTTCTATAAGATGATTTCTAGTATTTTTAAAAATCTGTTCAAATTTTTGGATAATTAAAATTGTTTTTGACAAGTGACACCTGTGATTATAATGAGAAAATCAGACTATTTGGAAGGGTTATGGTTAAAGAGTGCTTGCAAATGTGTATGAGAATGTATATATTATATGAATAGTGATTATGACAGAGTGCTGAAAAGTACTCAACCTGACAAACATCCCAAAACTTGATCAAATGACCAAAAACAGAATTTTGTTTGGACAGTCTACTTGGTCAGGCTGAGAACTTTTCAGTATCTCTTCATACTTTTTATGGGTCTCCACAACTTCCTGTCTTTGGTTGCTCTAAGTAATTTTTGTCTCTTTACCTTCCTTTTTTGTTCTTGTTCTGCTATCCATTCATGTAAATTTATATGCTATGTCCCTTCCAACTGTAGGTAATCATGGCTCTCCACAACTTCCTGCCTTTTGTTGTAAGTAATTTTTTGGCTTTTACCATCCTTCTTTCTTATAAGCCATGCTTCTTCAAGATGTGGACGATCATAGTTCTCCTGTCTTTTGTTAGTCTAAGTAATAGTGTGGCCTTTACTATCCTCTTTTTTCCATTCATTCACAGAAATTTATATACGATCATGGCTCTCCACAACTTCCTGTGTTTTGTTGCTCAGAGTAATTTTTTGGCCTTTACCATCCCTGTTTGTTCTTGTCCTGCCACCCATTCACTCAAACCTGTCAAGTAGAATGCGTGGTGGAGTAATGGATAGCAGCTCAGATTGAGGAATCAGAGACCGGAGTTCAAATTCCAGTCGGGTCCATTACATTCACTTATGTGCTTGGGAAAGATATGAATCCTCTTCTCCCCCCAGCTATTGGTAAATAGCAGGACAGACTGGGCTCTATAGCCTTGGGTGGCAACTGGTCTAGGAAAAGAAAAACTTTGAATTCAAAGAACTGTATGTAGCCCTGGCATAGCACATACTATACAGCTAAAGAAAGGATCATTTGCATTGGCTCAATGATCCACACTACAGTTGACCTGGAAGGAAGGTTACTTTTTGTTTCATTTCTGCTTCTCTTGCTTTCAATATGTCCTGTGGGTGTTAAATTCTCTAGGCCATCTTTCCTCATTCAGCTGTGTCTTTCCGATTATTTGTAGTAATTTCTTTGTAGTTCCTATTTTCCTTAAAACTTCCTCATTGCTCACACATTCTCTCTAAGTTATTCTCAGCATTTGTTAACTGAATCACATCTATCACTTCTTAGGAATATTTCCTGTATTTTAATCCTTTGCTTAGTTTCTGAAAGGTATCTTCCACTATTATGATGCACCTTTGGATTACTATGTCAAATTTTGCATTGCCTGTTATCACACTACACAGTTAATTCCTGCACATGCTTCATTTTGATGTCCCCATTATGTAGTTTGCAACTTTTCACTATCTCTTTTGCTGACAACCATGCATTTTTTCTTAATAGGTCTTTCTTCTTATTTTTCTTTACTACCTTTTTCTAAGAGTTCTTTTAGTTTTCTTTTTGGGTATGTCATCAATACAGTGTCATCTGCATATCTTGTGCTATTAAGATTGTGTCCACCAATAATAAATCCTGGTAGGACTTCTAATTCTCATCTCACTGAACTGTTGAAATAAAAAAAAAATGAAAGCATGAGTGGGAAGGTTTGTTGTTTTTGTTTCTGAGCAAGTTCGGACACAGATTTTTTTTTTTTTTTAAGCAGTTCACTAAGGCGATAATGCCACTAATATGTGCAAAGGGCTGCTAGGAGTGAAACAGAATGAGAAAACTTTAGACAGAAACAGAAAATCAATCCTAAACAACAAACAAAGGATAAACCTCTACTCCTGTTCAAAAGACTGGGGAGGAGTGTGAACCGGACAATAGGCAAACATATCTACTCCTATTAGGAATGTAGTGAATAGAACAGAACATATTAAACCACATTTTAAATTGTTTTTTTTCTGGGGGTGGAGTTACTAGACCTACGCCCACACAGTTCTGAATTCAGAGTTGTCTTTCTTGTAGACTGGTTACCAAACAAGGCGAGAGAGCTCTATCATTGTATTAACCTTTAGCTGGGGGAGAAGAGATAGATTCATACCTTTTCTAAGGGTATTTGTGCAACAGGCAATACAACAGCCTTGGCTGAAATTTGAACTAAACATGCTAATATCACTTCTGGCACCACTACGCGACACTCACATCTGTAAAAAAATTATATTTATCAAATACTTACTGGATTCCAACACATTTCATGTCCTGAAAGAAAAATAATAATTTTTATTATAAAATTTCTGGTCAACATGAAGAAAATGGTAAAATTTATTTTAGAATGCAGTGTGGAAACTAAAAGAAATACTTTGTCAATTGACACATCAGAATTCATTATGGTTATAAAACAAAAACTAAACTTTAGAAAGACTATTTTACAAAGCTTTAAGATTATTATGATGGGCCTAGTTTGACTCCTGTTTTTCATTATTGTTGTAGAGTAGTTTTCACAGTGGAGGCTTGTATTTCACTAAGTCGTCCTAAATTAGGTTTGACGTACAAAAAAGGTTAGGAACTTGAAATAAGAGTTAATGACGCAGCAATCTAGTTGTGATGGTTGATACTTCAATGTCCGACATCGACTGACTCGCTCAACACCACTGAGCCCAACTGGCCACTGCTACTACTACTTATTATTTGTGCGAGAGTCTATTACAATAGAATAGGTATTATGGTATAACAATTATTAAAATATAACATATCTACATCATAACAAAGTGAAACATTTATAAATATATAGAAGGATTCTTTATCAGAAGGATTTGGTTATACTAGTTTGGTAGATATATGAAAGTTTTTGTAATGTGGTTGCTCTAGTTTAGTGATTATTTACTTTGATAATTAAATGTGAAAGGTTACGGGAATATTTTCTAGCACAAGGAATAATGGTGATGTAAATATTAAATGCACAAAAATAACTGACCAATTGATTTGCAATGCAAACATAACATTAAAACAAAACTAACAAAAGTAAAGTTTAAAACAAAAGTTTCTTTTGTTAGAAGTAAATTATATACACAACAAAATGTTTCATTAATATATTATAGTGTGATTTACTTTGGTTGCATTTTAGTCTGAAGTGTTTCACAGCTCTTTTAGCTTCAGCATGCAAAGTTCATGTCATCAGTTTGAAAAGGGAACCCGAAAGAAAAGAGTTATTTTAGGGTTCACATGTTTTTATATTTGAGCTGCTGCTAATACAGAGTTTGTTTACTTATGGCTCCTGCTGATACTAAGAGGAACTACAGTACCAATTGGAGTAGATGAAGACTGTTTAGAAATAAAAAATCAACTCAGAGAAATTCCAAAATGAAAATACTTAAAGTAAAAAGATAGAAATCTTTGTTATATTGTCCCAATTTTAATGCATTATAAGATGTTTTGGTTTCACTTTGTAAGGAACTTTAATGATTAGCTACTTCAATAATTAAATGTGTAAAGTTTCTTATGGGAATATTTTTAGCACAAGGGATAACGTTGGTGTAAAGAATACATGCACAAAAATAACTGACCAATTGATTTACAATACAAAGATAACATTTATTAAACAAAATTAACAAAAGTAAAGTTTAAAACAAAAGTTTCTTAGGTTTTAAATAAATTGTATACACAACGAATTGTTCTTGAAGATGATCTAGTGTGGGTTTTAAGGTGAAGTGTTTACAGCTCTTTTAGCTTCTGCATGGAAAGTTCATGTCACATATTCAAAAGAGGGAAAACCTGGAGAGTTACTTTAGGGTTCACGTGTTTTTATATTTGAGCTGCTGCTGATATAGTGTTTATATACTTATGGCAGCTACTGTTACTAAAGGGTATTACATTAGTAAATGTTTCTGATTTTTGTGTTTGTCTTGGGTAATGAATAAATTATTTGCAAGTCTATCATTAAAAGGTAACACCAAACATAAGAAAGTGATATTTGTGTAAAACTTAACCTGTGGTCTTCATTCCTGGAGCAGCTCAAATTCATATGCTCTCTTGGCGATAGTTTGATAAAAATAGAAAGTCTCTAAATTTCCTGCCAGTAGACCAGTTTCCTTTTTTCTATGGAATCTGGGGAATTAGTTTTTTTGTTTTTTTTATTTCTCATGATCATGAAATCACTACAAAATATTTCTTAAGACAACGATGGTAATGATGATGGATTCAAAAGGAGAACCTGGATGCAAAATGTATTAGGATTTTACATTTATTCATTAGTTTTTTTCTGATGTTTTGCAAATGATCTCAAAGAATAATCTTTCATAGCATTGCTTCTTAGTAATTCTGGTTATCCTGTGAGACCATTCTGTATAAAAAATAATAATTTTAGTCAAATCTTCAAAATTGTTTTTAGAAACATAAGCCATCACTAAAATTCTGAAATTCAATACACAGCTATATGATTTTTGATCCAAAATTCTGAAAATTGGAAAGCTTTAAAAACCAATTATTTTTTTTTTGCCACAGATGCCACCTGAATACCAAAGTATAAAACTTGATGTCATAAATGGTCTGACATGACCCATATCTTGAAATACACTTTTGCTGTACTCTATCAAGCTTTGCAGAGTTTTGTAATGTCAACGAATACTCATTGTCACTTTTGTATTGCTCATTGTAGTATAGGCTTTGTAACTGCAGATACAACTATAGTAACGCCGTTGAACAATACTGGTGTCAGATGCCTTTGAATAACACTCACACTAATAGTACTTGCTCGATAACACTCACCTGAAAGTAACCATCGAATAGTGATCTGAATAGTAATCTATGTAGTGATCACTTAGACACCACACTAATTCCCATATATACATTTCCTTTACCATCATGTCATCTGCTTATTCAAAATGGGATCACCTGTGTTTGCTCTCTGGTGATCTGTGTTCAAACTCCAGTGTAGGCAGCAACACTTTATTCTTATATAACACAGAGTATAGAAAAAAATATTATTCCAATTGCTGTGTTAGCAGAGCTGAGAATATGCCAGCTGTATCATCTGCTGAGGATTAATACCTGGACATTCATCTAAACAAAATGGGTCAACCTTTTAGTTGGATACTTAAGCACTTGGTTATACATAGTTTTGAATCTAGTGACAAAATTTTTAGCTCTAGTGCAAACTTGACCTGTGTACACCTTTTTTAATTTACTGTAAACCATTAAAGTCTGTCTTTATTTTTACTATAGTGTAAACTGAACCTATGTCCACCTTTTTGATTCTAGCATAAACTCAGGCTATGTATGCACTTTTGATCCTAGCATAAACTCGGGCTATGTCTGCCCTTTTGATTCTAGCATAAACTAGGGCTATGTCTGCCCTTTTGATTCTAGTGTAAACTGAACCTACATCTGCCCTGTTCATTTTAGTGTAAACTGAACCTATGTCTGCCCTGTTGATTCTAGTGTAAACTGGACCTATGTCAGCCTTTTTGATTCTAGCATAAACTCGGGCTATGTATGCACTTTTGATCCTAGCATAAACTCTGGCTATGTCTGCGCTTTTGATCCTAGCATAAACTCGGGCTATGTCTGCACTTTTGATCCTAGCATAAACTCGGGCTATGTCTGCACTTTTGATCCTAGCATAAACTCGGGCTATGTCTGCACTTTTGATCCTAGCATAAACTCGGGCTATGTCTGCACTTTTGATCCTAGCATAAACTCGGGCTATGTCTGCACTTTTGATCCTAGCATAAACTCGGGCTATGTCTACCCTTTTGATTCTAGTATAAACTAGGGCTATGTCTGCCCTTTTGATTCTAGTGTAAACTGAACCTACATCTGCCCTGTTCATTTTAGTGTAAACTGAACCTATGTCTGCCCTGTTGATTCTAGTGTAAATTGGACCTATGTAAGCCTTTTAGATTCTAACATAAACTAGGGCTATGTCTGCCCTTTTGATTCTAGTGTAAACTGAACCTATGTCTGCCCTGTTGATTCTAGTGTAAACTGAACCTATGTCTGCCCTGTTGATTCTAGTGTAAACTGGACCTATGTCAGCCTTTTTGATTCTAGCATAAACTCGGGGTATGTCTGCACTTTTGATTCTAATGTAAACTGGATCTCTGTCTGCCCTTTTAAGTCTAATATAAACTGGACCTATGTCTGCCCCCTTTTGATTCTCATGTAAACTGGACCTATATCTACCTTTTTGATTCTAGCATAAATTAGGGCTATGTCTGCCATTTTGTTCCTAGTGTAAACTGAACCTATGTCTGCCCTGTTGATTCTAGTATAAACTGAACCTATGTCAGCCTTTTTGATTCTAGTATAAACTAGGGCTATGTCCACCCTTTTGATTCTAGTGTAAACTGGACCTATGTCTGCCCCCTTTTGATTCTCATGTTAACTGGACCTATGCCTGCACCCTCTTGATTCTAATGTAAACTGGACCTATGTCTGCACCCTCTTGATTCTCATGTAAACTAGACCTATGTCTGCTCCCTTTTGATTCTCATGTAAACTAGACCTATGTCTACCCTGTTGATTCTAGCATAAACTAGGGCTATGTCTTCCCTTTTGATCCTAGTGTAAACTGGACCTATGTCTACCCTGTTGATTCTAGTGTAAATTGGACCTATGTCTACCCTGTTGATTCTAGTGTAAATTGGACCTATGTCTACCCTGTTGATTCTAGTGTAAATTGGACCTATGTCTACCCTGTTGATTCTAGTGTAAATTGGACCTATGTCTACCCTGTTGATTCTAGTGTAAACTGGACCTATGTCTACCCTGTTGATTCTAGTGTAAACTGGACCTTTGTCTGCTTTTGGTCAAGTTCAAACTAGAGCTGTGCCTATATTTTTTTTATATATTTCTGAATTCTGAAACATGTCTTCTCCTCAGATAAGAGATATCTATGTGTTCTTAATAAAAAAAATAGATATTTTTAGATAATATAAACAGTTTTTAAAAAGTCAAATCACAATCATTTCAATGTAACATAAGTGAGAGGGAAATATTTGATATGAAAAATATTGGAAAATGTGAAGATCAAAAGTAAAAAACAAAAAAAAGATATATATGTAAACAGATTTTTACCTGTGAGCCACGGGCATAAATATCTCCATTTTCTTTTTTCTCTGCACTGAAGGGGTCAACACACCATTTGTCCTGAAGTTTAAAATCTTCACATAAAAAATGAATTTAGGAATTTATAAACAAACAATAACACAGTCAGCATGAAATGATTAATAACAGAATGCTGTTGATTGTTTGATTACATGGCACACAATAGTCACAGTAATAATAGTAGTACAGTAATATATTGAATAAATTGTAATGAATTGACAATAAGAATTACCACAGAATAGCAGCTTTATTCAGTATTATTATGCTACTATTATTGTCGTTACAGTAGCATGCCAAGTAATCATCTTTGAGTTTCTGTTTATATTTCTGAGATGAGGTATTGTAACTCTTCACTATTTACATTGTTGTCCTCATCTTCATTGTCATATTCATGACAATTCGAACATTGTATGCTTCGGCCTTCTTCAGGATCTGTTTCTGAGATGAGGTATTGTAACTATTTACACTATTTACATTGTTGTCCTCATCTTCATTGTCATATTCACAATGATTCGGCCACTGTACACTCTGGCCTTCTTCAGGTTATTGGAATTTCAAACCAGAATGGTTAGGGTGACATTAGGTTTATAATTCCCAAAATTCATACACCAATGTCACCAAGGACACATGGCACAATGGATAAAATGTTGGTTGAAGTAATCCAATGACTTGACCCAAAGAGTTGTGAGTTCAATACTCCACAGCAGTGGTAATCTTGGAGAGTTGAGTTACTAAAAGGGAAATAACTGAAACTGAGATATTTGAAAGAGGCATGGCATATGGAACTAGAACAATCTACCTCAATGGACAAAATAAAGGATTGGTTCAAAATTCCAATTACCTGAAGAAGGCTGGAATGTACAATGGCCGAAATGTCAGGTATATGACAACATAAATGAGAAAAACAGTCTGAACAATGTAAGTAGTGTCATCTTTGAATTGTGGGAGTCTTTTTAAGAGTTCTGTGATAATAAGCTAAAGTTTTGTTGTAGAATAACTACGGACAATAATGGGTATGTCCCCATTCACATAAATACAGTAGTGAATACTGTATGCAGTTTTCGAAATCTCCTGAAACTCTTCTGGACAGTTTCTTTGTTTAAGTTGGTGAATTCTGCTATAATCCTTGCCTTCAGTTTATTTTTGACATTACAAGGAGTTTTGTTGGTCTCTCACTCAACTGCACCCACACAATAATCAAGGGGGTTGCAGTCTCGTGAGTTAGGTTGCCAGATGTAAGAGGTGATGTGGTCACAGAAATTCTGTTTGTGTGGCAAAGTTCAGAGTCCTGTTGTCAGACATCATTGGGTCTTCCAGCAGTCACCCTCTTAACCCAGAGCAGCACAACCTCCTCAAGGCACTTGATATAGGCCTCTGTGTTGAGTCTGAGGCCCTGTGGAAAGATGAATGGAAGCATAAAGTTTCCATCACTAGTGATCACACCAAACACCTTTGTAATCACTCATCCAACTCTTTCCAAATCCTCTGCACTGTTCTCAGATTGATACCTAAACACTGAAATGTTCATATTGGAGCTTCCAGCATGAATACCAAGCAAAGCATCAAGCCATTTCCAAATTTCTAGTGGAGTGAATTGTGCCATGGTGCTCTTTTTCTCACAGACGGTGCCCAACTGACCCTACTATACTGTGCAGTCAACAAAATCAAAAACAAAGTGCACACATGAAATTAAAATATAAAATGCCAACAATTTACCCGTCACCATCTGTATGCGCAATTATTCATTCATTTTTACTTTATTTAACCCTCAATAAACTTCAAAAAGATTATTATTAATAATTGTGATTAGTATTTACAATTATTTTAACTTTTAATTACTTTATGTTAAAACTTTATTCAGGCTGTCAATAGAATAGCAGTGAGACAAAAAGAGGTTGGAAATTAAGAATAACCACTCATTTTGGTTCTGACACATGTCACATTTGCCTCACGAAAGACTGGTTGATGCTTTAACTGACTGAACTATAAGAATCTAATGGCTTTGGAAGAAATCTAATCTATGAACTCATCAGTCCATTCCATGTACTCAGTGCAATCTTTGTATGGATTCATTTTTTTATGATAATAGTTGATAATGCTTCATCAATAAAAAAAAGTAGATGGAAATAATAAATACGAGTGAAAAATTAATAATAATGGCTGACAATTCTTCATCTAATAAAAAATGAAGATGGAAGTAAATACTAGTCAAAAATTAATAATAATGGCTGACAATGCTTCATCTAATAAAAAATGAAGATGAAAGTAAATACTAGTGAAAAATTATTTAATAATGGCTGACAATGCTTCATCTAAAAAAATGAAGATGAAAGTAAATACTAGTGAAAAATTAATAATAATGGCTGACAATGCTTCATCTAATAAAAATGAAGATGAAAGTAAATACTAGTGAAAAATTATTTAATAATGGCTGACAATTCTTCATCTAATAAAAAATAAAGATGAAAGTAAATACTAATCAAAAAATTAATAATAATGGCTGACAATGCTTCATCTCATAAAAATGAAGATGAAAGTAAATACTAATCAAAATTAATAATAATGGCTGACAATGCTTCATCTAATAAAAAATGAAGATGAAAGTAAATACTAATCAAAAATTAATAATAATGGCTGACAATGCTTCATCTAATAAAAAATGAAGATGAAAGTAAATACTAATCAAAAATTAATAATAATGGCTGACAATGCTTCATCTCATAAAAAATAAAGATGAAAGTAAATACTAATCAAAAATTAATAATAATGGCTGACAATGCTTCATCTAATAAAAATGAAGATGAAAGTAAATACTAATCAAAATTAATAATAATGGCTGACAATGCTTCATCTCATAAAAATAAAGATGAAAGTAAATACTAATCAAAAATTAATAATAATGGCTGACAATGCTTCATCTAATAAAAAATGAAGATGAAAGTAAATACTAATCAAAAATTAATAATAATGGCTGACAATGCTTCATCTAATACAAAATGAAGATGAAAGTAAATACTAGTGAAAAATTATTTAATAATGGCTGACAATGCTTCATCTAATAAAAAATGAAGATGAAAGTAAATACTAATCAAAAATTAATAATAATGGCTGACACTGCTTCATCTAATAAAAAATGAAGATGAAAGTAAATACTAATCAAAAATTAATAATAATGGCTGACAATGCTTCATCTAATACAAAATGAAGATGAAAGTAAATACTAGTGAAAAATTACTTAATAATGTCTGACAATGCTTCATCTAATAAAAAATGAAGATGAAAGTAAATACTAATCAAAAATTAATAATAATGGCTGACAATGCTTCATCTAATACAAAATGAAGATGAAAGTAAATACTAGTGAAAAATTATTTAATAATGTCTGACAATGCTTCATCTAATAAAAAATGAAGATGAAAGTAAATACTAATCAAAAATTAATAATAATGGCTGACAATGCTTCATCTAATAAAAAATGAAGATGAAAGTAAATACTAATCAAAAATTAATAATAATGTCTGACAATGCTTCATCTAATAAAAAATGAAGATGAAAGTAAATACTAATCAAAAATTAATAATAATGGCTGACAATGCTTCATCTAATAAAAAATGAAGATGAAAGTAAATACTAATCAAAAATTAATAATAATGGCTGACAATGCTTCATCTAATACAAAATGAAGATGAAAGTAAATACTAGTGAAAAATTAATAATAATGGCTGACAATGCTTCATCTAATAAAAATGAAGATGAAAGTAAATACTAGTGAAAAATTATTTAATAATGGCTGACAATTCTTCATCTAATAAAAAATGAAGATGAAAGTAAATACTAATCAAAAATTAATAATAATGGCTGACAATGCTTCATCTAATACAAAATGAAGATGAAAGTAAATACTAGTGAAAAATTACTTAATAATGTCTGACAATGCTTCATCTAATAAAAATGAAGATGAAAGTAAATACTAATCAAAATTAATAATAATGGCTGACAATGCTTCATCTAATACAAAATGAAGATGAAAGTAAATACTAGTGAAAAATTATTTAATAATGTCTGACAATGCTTCATCTAATAAAAATGAAGATGAAAGTAAATACTAATCAAAAATTAATAATAATGGCTGACAATGCTTCATCTAATAAAAATGAAGATGAAAGTAAATACTAATCAAAAATTAATAATAATGGCTGACAATGCTTCATCTAATAAAAATGAAGATGAAAGTAAATACTAATCAAAATTAATAATAATGGCTGACAATGCTTCATCTAATAAAAATGAAGATGAAAGTAAATACTAATCAAAAATTAATAATAATGGCTGACAATGCTTCATCTAATACAAAATGAAGATGAAAGTAAATACTAGTGAAAAATTAATAATAATGGCTGACAATGCTTCATCTAATAAAAATGAAGATGAAAGTAAATACTAGTGAAAAATTATTTAATAATGGCTGACAATTCTTCATCTAATAAAAAATAAAGATGAAAGTAAATACTAATCAAAAATTAATAATAATGGCTGACAATGCTTCATCTAATAAAAAATGAAGATGAAAGTAAATACTAATCAAAAATTAATAATAATGGCTGACAATGCTTCATCTCATAAAAAATAAAGATGAAAGTAAATACTAATCAAAAATTAATAATAATGGCTGACAATCCTTCATCTAATAAAAAATGAAGATGAAAGTAAATACTAATCAAAAATTAATAATAATGGCTGACAATGCTTCATCTAATAAAAAATGAAGATGAAAGTAAATACTAATCAAAAATTAATAATAATGGCTGACAATGCTTCATCTAATAAAAAATGAAGATGAAAATAAATACTAATCAAAAATTAATAATAATGGCTGACAATGCTTCATCTAATAAAAAATGAAGATGAAAGTAAATACTAGTGAAAAATTATTTAATAATGGCTGACAATGCTTCATCTAATAAAAAATGAAGATGAAAGTAAATACTAATCAAAAATTAATAATAATGGCTGACAATGCTTCATCTAATAAAAAATGAAGATGAAAATAAATACTAATCAAAAATTAATAATAATGGCTGACAATGCTTCATCTAATAAAAAATGAAGATGAAAGTAAATACTAATCAAAAATTAATAATAATGGCTGACAATGCTTCATCTAATAAAAAATAAAGATGAAAGTAAATACTAGTGAAAAATTATTTAATAATGGCTGACAATGCTTCATCTAATAAAAATGAAGATGAAAGTAAATACTAGACAAAAATTAATAATAATGGCTGACAATGCTAATAAAAAAATGAAATCATTTAAGTTTTTATTGGTAATACAGAATAACATGGTCACAGTAGTCATTGTAGGATTTTGAAAAATGTTTTTGTCCTGAAGTACACAAGCGATGATTGATAATAATATACTTACAATATCAACAGGTACAACATCTGTATGGGAGTTGAGCATCACTGAAGGGAGTGATGGATCTTCTCCTTCCAATGTCATTATAAACACGGGACGTTTTGGAGCAACCTACAAAAAATATTACTTACATATAACATAATTCTATTTACACAATGTTTTTGAGCAACCTAGAAAGGATTTAAAAGTAAATTCCAAAAATTTAGGGAATACAGAAAGTATGGTCATTAGCAAGAGAAAAAGCTCAAGGTGCAAGTTATGATTTGGAAATGTAAATATCAAGCAGGTGCAGAAGTTTAAATATCTGGGAAGCATTTTAACAGAGGATGGAAAATGCAACACTGAGATCCAAAGTACACATTGGATTAGCGACAGGGGCATTCCAAATGCTAAGCAAGATTGTGCTGAGAAACGGAAAAAATTCCTTAGAACAAAGAGAAAAGTGCTGAATTGCTATGTGATATACATCTTCTTATATAACCATGAATGTTGGACAATTTCTTTAAGGATGAGGAAAAACTAGAATCAGCAGAAATGTGGTTCCACAGAAGGATGCTGAGAATTCCATGGATTGAGAGAGTAAGCAAGGAAGTTTTAAAGAAAATGGAAACAGAAAGAACAAATACTCATAATCTAAAAGAAAAAGCTGAAATTCCTTGGACACATAATGAGGAAGGAGGGTTTAGAAAACTTAACACTCAAAGGGCATATTTATGGCAAGAGAGATAGGGGAAGTCAGCAAGTCACTTTTGTGTGAATGGATGGTGGAACAAAGGGAGAAAAAGAGCTACACGAGTAGTTGTGGAGAGCCATGATCATCTATGAAGAAGCACAGCACATAGAAGTGTAAACACAGATGAAAAATAAAATTGCATATTATGAGAATATCCGTTTCAATTGACACAAGATTAAACATACAGTAGCAACAGGTCTCACCCCAGATCATGTCAGTGCTTAGTTCGCAATGTCTTTCAGAGAAGTCAGGTGCAGATTTGGTTTGAAAGATAACCTCCTGGCCACTGAGGGAAAATCTGCATGATCAGTACAGCTGCACCTGGGATGCACAGATAGGAAAGAGCATTATCACAGATATATAAACACCCACCCAAGAGAGGAGAAAGGTAGTCTTCCTCAAACATTGCAGACCTGATTGCAAAGTCTATATATACAATCATGCAGATGACAAATACCATCTTGTAATATATTATACTAAGAATTTTGCACCTGTTGATACAAGAATTATAGTTGGGTTAACAAAATGAGCCATTCTGTCATGTCCCATAAATATTAAATGAGACAATTGTGCTAGTCAGCTAAGTTATCAAGCATTTTACAGAACATATTTAGTAAGGTGGGGACATATAAACACCCACTCTAGAGGAGAAAGTCTCTCTCTCAGATATTGTAGATGAGAATGTAAAGCAGGTTTCATTAAAGAGTGGCTCAACTGGCTGAAAGTGATTGATCAAGTTGGAAATTTGATAAAATCTAATGTTAAATATGAGAGACTGAAGTCTTGTGCTACTATTAATAATGGCAATGACTTCATTACATTAGCATGACGTAAGGCTACAGTTTTGAAAGAGAAAATCAGACAGTTGGGTAGAAAGATAATCTCCCAGTCACCAAGTGGAGACTTACATGATCAGCTCAACTGCACCTTGGAAAGAGCCTTATTATAGATATATAAATACCTACCTTTCTCCTAGATAAGAGAAAGTTAATCTCTCTCAGACATCACAGACGAGAATGTAAGATCCACATTTCATTAAAGGATGGTTCAACTGGCTGAGAGGGATTGATCAAGTTTGGAATTGAATAAAATCTGTCTATATTACCAAGATGAGGTGTTATGTACACTATTTACATTATTTGGACTATTGTGCTCATCTTTGTAACCATATTTACCACAATGTTTCAGCCGTTGTACACTCCAGCCTTCTTCAGGCAGTTTGAATGTCAAATTTCTCATATTGCAATTTTTGCTGTTATCATTGCATGTTTTTTTTACTAGAGCTCATATTGCAATTTTTGTTGTTATTATTGCTTTTCTCTGGCACACTTTATTACTGGTTCCCATATAAAATCTAATGTTTTATATAAAGTAAATAATCACAAAAAACAGATAAATAAACAATTTGAAAAATAAGGGATATATCAACAATACTTAGACTCCATATTAATACATTGTATATTCTTGTTGGGAATTAATACAGGACCCTTGCATGCTGACAATCATATAAGTAATGAGTAACATCTGACAATACATTAATCGATATCTCTTGCACTTCTACATGAAATAGAAGATTTCTAGGTGGGTTAACAGAATGAGTCAATGGTCATTCCATAATTCCATAATGTCCCATACATTTTCACTAGGTGAGAGCTGGGGCAATCGTGAAGAATTACCCCAACAGGCATACCTGACCATTCACTAGTCAGTGTCAAAGTTGATCGTAAACCAAAAGGTATCCGCCATAGAACAATTTTTCAGTACACAAAAGCCAACAGGAACAGCTTCATATCTTATGTGGCAGAAGCTCCTCTCTCAACCTTCTTCAAACATACTTGCCTCCAAAACTGTCACCTCCAACATGGAATGGATCCTTTCTGGAATGGAGAGCTTTATACACTAGAAAAATATTCCAGCTAAAAATGAACAACCAGCCCTAGTTCACACCTCAATATGCTGCAATCATAGTTCACTGTAGCCACTACTACAATATCCATCACAGATTTATCAAAAGTCTTGACCCTAAAAAAGGGCTACCAGCCTAGTGAAACTAGGCTGGTAGCTCTTTTAACTATTTAATTGCTACTTGAAAAAGAAATTCTTCCCAAGTCTGTAGAAGATGACAAATGCATACCTTGTTTTAAAAAATTCGGATGAGTGGTCATCCCTAGCAAAATGTGCTATAATTAACAAGAAAGTTGTTGATCACCTCAATAGGGACAACCTCTTGAGCAACAAGCAGTATGGATTTCAATCAGCTCGGGCCACTGCTGATATCCTGTCATTATTTATAGAATCAATGTGGCACTTGACAACTGATACATCTCAAGGACAATCACATTAGATCTTTCAAAGCCTTTGACAAGGTGCAACATAGAGGCTATAGAATCACAGAAAGAGTCTTTTCAATATTATCTGGCATTCCTCTACCTTTACAAGAGCCAGATCAAGCTGAAAATGGAGTACTGCTGTTATACAAGGGCAGGAGTTACCTAGTTTTCACTTTTCTGTTTTGATGCATCGCTGTTCAAACAAACTACATTCTTTAGTTTCACCAGTTCTAACCTTCACAGCTAAGACCTTCCAGGCTACGTACACCGTGGGAAACCAACTTCATTTCCTTCGTATTCCACTGGTGAGATGTAAGTTCCACCTGAGCAGCTTCTTCTCACAAACATCAGCTTTGTGAAACCGACTCCCAATATGATGCTTTACCAATCACTACAATCTTAATTTGTTCAAGTCTTGGGTTAACGGTTATCTTCCCCATATATTCATGTAAACAGTATCTCTTACCCTGTAACCCTCTAGCTCAAGTGGCTCTTGGGCCTTGTACAGAGTGAACATTATTGTAAAACAAATATATAATCTAATATTCAGCTGATGTTTAATCCATATATATCATTTTTTAATATTTTGATATTATTTTGATCTTAATTTCATATTCTATGTCCTTTCAGAATATAGGCAGTTGTGACTCTCTATAACTTCCCTAACATGAAAGAAACAAATAATATCTAAGAATATGGTTACAATGTATTAATATTATTCCTAGATGAAAGAAAGCATATTTGTAACAATGTTAAGACATTTATTGTTTATATAACCCCTAAGCACTTTTCTATTTTCTTAAAACATTCTTCAATAGAACTCCATTTCTGTTGCTTCAAGTCTCTTCATCTGTGAAGTGAATGTCAAGTATTCCCTGTTATATAAGAGATTAGATATTACATAGCAGTTCAGAGCTCTTTTACTTTTAAAGACATTTTATCTCTTAACACGTTGCTTATTATTTGATTCTGGAATTATCAAGAAACTTTTGTGTCAAGCAAGTTTCTAGGTGCTAGTCTACTAGTGATTACGAAACCACTGGAGTATCAGGTGACATTTGTGTTTGATGTGGCAGGAAATAAGGAAATTTATTATTTTTTTTAAATACTGTTTCTTGTAACCATGTTTTGAAATCTAATCACGATATGCTTATTTCCAAGCTCTTTAAAATACAACAGGTTCAATTTTCCCAGACATTTAGACAGACTAAAGAATGACAAAGCATTACTTAATTTGATAAACATTACTTAGTCATGTTTATTTATCAGCAGCTGTGTCTTAGAAAAGCTGATATTGAGTACATTTTAAGTTGACTGATAAAATGTACCTCATGTTTTTTAATATACAGTCAGACACAAATTAGAGATGGTCAAATAAATCAATTACTGGAATATAAATATTTGGGAATGATTTTAAAACAGACTTTTTCTTCTACATATTGTGTCTCTTCAGGATGTTAATGATCATGGCTCTCACAATTTCCTGTCAATTGTAGCTCTTAATAACTTTTGCTTTTTGTTATCTCTCCTAAACCTCATTCTGCTATCCATCTACACAAGCTCATTCTTCTATGTCCCTTTAGGACATTGGCAATCATGGCTCTCCACAATTTCCAGTCCATTGTAGCTCATAATAAATTTTGTCTTTTCATTATATCTCTTAAACCTCATTCTGCCAACCATTTACACAAACTCATTCTTCTTCTACATGCCATGCCTCTTCAAAATGTAAGCAATCATGGTTCACCACAATTTTCTGTCCATTGTAGCTCGTAATAACTTTTGCTTTTGGTCATCTGTCATAAAACTTGTTCTGCCATCCATTTACACAAGCTCATGGAGGTAGATTTACATAAAGAAGGCTTGGAAAATTTGAGACATACACAACATATTAACAACAAGACAGACAAAGGGAAGCAGTGAGTAAATTACCCAATGAGTTTGTGTAAATGTTTGGCAGAACAGAGAGACTGGGAAGGATAATGAAAAGACAATCATTGTTAAGATCAACAAAAGACATAATTTTGAAGAGCCATGATTGTCTCAAAAGGATACGACTCATAAAAAAAAGGGAAAATGTTTGGAACTTTCTTACTGCCAACATCATTTGCTATGTCCCTTCAGGATGCTGGTGATCGTGGCTCTCCACAAAATCAGAAAGATTGAATAAAAATTCATAGGATAATGAGGAGAGAGGGCTTGGAGAATTTAACACCCATGGCATATATTTTTAAGGTTCTTTTTCTATTTGCTATGTCCCATCAGGATGCTGGTGATCATGGCTCTCCACAAAATCAGAAAGATTGAATAAAAATTCATAGAATAATGAGAAAAGAGGGCTTGGAGAATTTAACACCCATGGGATATATTGAAGGCAAGACAGAAAGGGAAACAGCGAGTAACCTATATAACAAACTTGTGCATATGGATGGCAGAACAGTGAGTGGGAGGATTAGGGAATATAAAATATTAAGATCACAAAGGGTAGGAAGTTATGGAGAGCCATGATCATCCAGAAGGGACAACTCAACGAAGAACTTTTTTTACTGACTTCATTATCGCAGATATTTTAAAGTTTCTTCTATATGTTATGTGTCTTCAGGATAGTAAATGAGGAAAGAAGGCTTGAAAAATTTGATACTCACAGAACATATTAAAGACAAGATGGTTAAAGGGGGGAAAAGAAAGTAAACTACCTAAAAGATTTGTGTAAATGGATGGTTGAACAGAAAGTGGTGGGGAGAGCAAAAAAAAATAAAAAATAAAAAAACAGAATTTATTAAGAACTAGAAAGGACTGGAAATTGTAGAGAGCCATGATCACCTAAGAAAGGGCATGGCACATAGAAGAAACATTTAGTCAAAGGCAGCTGATTTAAAAATGTACAAACCCCAACGGCCCCAATATATGAATAAACATGCAACCAGACATACGAGGTATCCCATTGAGACACATAATATCAGGAAAAAACAGCACGGGCCAATAAACTAAAAAAAAATGATACGAATATATATATATATATATATATATATATATATACCCAAGTATATAATTGGTGTATATGGAATGAATTCCAATAACCAACAATTACTATTCTTAAAAGAGTGCTCAATACAAAGTAGAGCAGATATAATTATTTTTTATAAAAAAATTATAACATAAATATGTTATAAAATCACTACAAAAATAGCCATTTTGTTTCAACACACTCTGTGTCTTATCAAGTGATGATGTTGAAAACATCATCACTTGATAAGACACAGAGTGTGTTGAAAACATCATCACTTGATAAGACACAGAGTGTGTTGAAACAAAATGGCTATTTTTGTAGTGATTTTATAACATACTTATGTTATAATTCTTTTATAAAAATATATATATATATATATATATATATATATACGCTTTTACTTTTTTATTTTATACGCTCTTTTTATACACACAAACACACATTATATATATATATATATATATATGCACATACTTTTATATTTATATATATACACACACACATATATATATATATATATATATGCACACATACTTTTATATTTATACGCTCTTTTATACACACACACATCATATATATATATATATATATATATATACACACACAAATACACACATATATACAAATATATATATACATATATACACACAAACATATATATATATATATATATATATATACGCACAAACATTTTATATTTTATACAATATATATACACACACAAAACATACATATACAAATATATACACACACACAAACATACATATACAAATATATACACACACACAAACATATATATACAAATATATACACACACACAAACATATATATACAAATATACACACACACACAAACATACATATACAAATATACACACACACACAAACATACATATACAAATATATATACACACACACATACATATACAAATATATACACACACACATACATATACAAATATATACACACACACATACATATACAAATATATACACACACACACATATACATATATATATACATATATACACACAAATATATACACACACATATATATATATATACAAATATATACACACACACACATATACAAATAAATATACACACACATATACATATACAAATATATACACACACACCTACATAATTACACACATACATATATACACACATACACACACACATATACAAACTGCTGCTATGCATATGATGCTGCAAACCACTGCTACGCATATGACATTGTTGAAACCCACTATGTATATGACACTGCAGACCACAGCTACGTATATGACACTATTTATTGCCACTACATATATTTCGTTATTTATTCCCACTGCATGTTTAGCATTTGTTAATCCAATCTACATCACTTTAAGATACTCAGAATAAATAAACTGAAACTGAAGGAAATTAAGGATTCAAAATGGAAAATAAATGTATATATTTGTGATGCAAGACCACATTTCAAGTGTATTTTATAATGGGCTGAATTCATGGTTAGTGTTTTGGAAAACATTTATAAATGCATTTTGAAAGATGAGGAATCAAAAAAAATAAAGCTCAAATAAGAAAATGAATATTAATTATTGGTAGCAAAAAGTTTTTAAATCAATTTACTTCAATGATTTTGAAAGGCAAACCAAGATCTTCGGCCATTTCTTGAAGAAACTCCATCGCTCCATCTGTAAAGAAAGAAAATATAAGTGTGAAAACAGGAATTCAATTGAAGTCAAATTATAATATAAACATTGAAAATAAAATAAATTAAAATAAAAAATAAACATTAAAAAGAATAAAATAAAAATAAAATAGAATAATAAAAATTGAAAAAAAATAAAATAAAAATTCATGATCACTTAACAATTTTTATGTTAAACACAATTCCCAGCTAGAAAAAATGTGCAAAATATAAAACATTATGTTGATGTAAATAAAATGGAAACCTTTCTTTATAGATGATTTTAGTAGATTTGATGACATAAAAGATGCACTTTTCTTTCATAAAATGGCACAAAAATTATCCCAGCATCTTACATTCAAAGTGCGCTAAACTCACAGTTCTCAACAGTCAATCTAAGACCATACATCATATCACTAATCATCACAAACAGAATAATAGCAGATTATGGTATACAAGCTAGTAGAAAAAACAAAGATCTACTTGAAGGTGGCTGATTTAAAAACCTCTCTCTCTCATTATATATATATATATATATATATATATATATATATATATATATATATATATATATATATTACAAAAAACAAAAATTACCTCAACATAGAAGATAGTTTATTTCAAGCTATTCTGTATGCGGCTATCATCAGCCCCAAAGTGTCTGTCTCAGAGCATTTTTTTAAAATCTATTTTCAATGTCAGTCCTCCTCTGGTAGATGCCTTGTTACTGAGAATGGGTTTGTGTTAGCAATTGGTGGGGGGGCATAAGGTATCTTATCCCAGGGGAAGTGTGTCTGGGGTTGGAGTTTATTTATGGCCAGTACTTGTTTGTAGTTTAATATCAGTTCCTACTATGTGGCATTTTTTATAAAAGCTCCAAGTGTGTTTTTCTGGGATTCACAGTACTTAGTTTTTGTACTACAGGCGTCCAATATTATTAATAAACGATGGGGTATTTAAACTTAAGGCCATTAATATTAATGTAAATTAATCGAGTTATAGATTGTGGATAATACCTGATCACCCAATGGAATAAATCATGCTGTCCAACACACTTATATGTGTACATATCTTCATACATGCATATATGTACATTTACATGTCCATACATATATGCCACTATATTCACACATACACTCCCCCACATATATGCACATGTATTCTTATGTAATTTGGAATTTATTTCTATGTCTACATTTTGTGATTAGTTCTCTCTGTTGATTTAATAGATTGCATTGATCTTTATATTTTATTATCCTGATTTTTTTTCTTCTAAAAATAGCTTGCACCTATCCCTAAAACTATTAGGGGTGTTCTGTTATAATAAATACATCGAGCTTTCTGTGGATCAGTTTTAATAACTAATATTACTAAGATCCACCCGGATTATATACCAATGAATCGATTACCTGTACTATACTCTCTCTATATATATATATATAGAATTATTTATTTAAAAATATGATTCCAAATCGCGACATAAGAAGTCTCATGTTTTAAAACAAGAGCCAAAAACTTCAATATAATTATTTATTTAAATTAAATTGAGTTAAAGTAAGCTCTGTTCCATCTTCAAGCAGAATTTTTTTTTTTTTTTTTAATTTAAATAATTATATTGAAGTTTTCGGCTCTTGTTTTAAAACATGAGACTTCTTATGTCGCAATTTGGAATCATATTTTTAAATAAATAATTATATTTATGCTCTACTTTTGTATCGAGCACTATTTTTAAAAAATAATAACTAAAATACTAAGGGACTTTGGATTATTTACCTAACCAGTTCCTTCCTATTTTCTATATATTTTCACATTATATATTTATTAAAGACATTTTTATGTTTAACGTTCTTTTTTATAGATACAAGTATTTAAGTAAATGCTCTGTTTATAATAAACAGTATTAAATAACATTTACCGGCCTGAATGTCCGAGAAATTTTCATAGAAAATATACGTCCTTTGACAGGATTCGAACCTGCATCCTATACGGAACCGTCATTTACCCTGACGTGCCTTACCGACCAGCCACAAAGGAGCGTTCGGTAGACAAGGTCGAATTTACTGCTTATAAACTTCAATCTTCCATGAATCTCGTACATTCATAACTGCTCTGGCGTATCAAATGTAAACAAATGACGTCATATATTAAGAAATGGACAAAGTCCGACAATTTATTTATTAAAGACATTTTTATGTTTAACGTTCTTTTTATAGATACAAGTATTTAAGTAAATGCTCTGTTTATAATAAACAGTATTAAATAACATTTACCGGCCCTGAATGTCCGAGAAATTTTCATAGAAAATATTCGTCCTTTGACAGGATTCGAACCTGCATCCTATACAGAACCGCCATTTACCCTGACGTGCCTTACCGACCAGCCACAAAGGGCGTTCGGTAGACAAGGTCGAATTTACTGCTTATAAACTTCAATCTTCCATGAATCTCGTACATTCATAACTGCTCTGGTGTATCAAATATAAACAAATGATGTCATATATTAAGAAATGGACAAAGTCCGACAATTTATTTATTAAAGACATTTTTATGTTTATATATATATATATATATACACGCAAACACACTGATCAGTCTGGCATTTTTTAAGTCAAAACTCTGGTGAGATGTATTATGAAGTACTGCTGTTGCATTCAGATTATTGTTATACAGGATATCTCTGTGGTGCTCATTTATTTTTTTGAGGTTTCTGGATATTTACCCAATGTACATCAATTGACATTTTGTATATTCCTGTCTCTGTTCTATTGTTGTATCTACCTCATTGCATACTAACTATATTTTTTATTGATAGAGAGATGGTGTTGATGAATTTTATGTCAAGGTTGCACGAGTTATGGAGTTGGAAGTTAGGATTATGTGTCTAATTTTGTTATGTAGTGGGGTTTCACTCACATAATATCAGCAAAAGTTAGGGTTGTGTTTCACAGAGATAAAAGCATACTATAATAAAATGTACACAAATATCCAATGAATTTACATTGGAAACTGGACCCTTATAAAATTTAGTGAAAAGATTTTTTTTTTTTTTTTTGTTATATTTGTGATCTGGAGTGCTTAGCTTAATTTATATATGGGAACTTGTAGTGGCAGAAAAACAAAATGTTCAATATTTACAATTTACATTATTCGGACTATTGTCTTCATCTTTGTTGCCAGATTACAACGTTTCGGCCGTTGTATGCTCCGGCCTTCTTCAGGTGGTTGGAATGTCGAACTGAACCCATTATTTCGCTCACTGGGGTAGACTGCTGAAACGTTGTAATAACTATGACAACAAAGATGAGGACAATAGTCCGAATAATGTAAATAGTGTAAATAATACCTCATCTCAGAAATAGACAGATACAAAAAAAAAATGTTCAATATTTCAAAAATAAAAAAATAAAAAAAAAAACTAAAAGTCGGCAAACCATTTTAGTTTGCCATAAAGAAATATAAAACACAAAAGATAAAAAAGAAATAAATAAAAGGCCAAAAGGTCATCATTCCTAAATGTAGGTGAATTTAAAAAGAGATGAGTCCTGTGAAACAATCAGAAATCAACAGGGAATTCTGAAATGAATTCCTTTTTCTCGGAAAAGTGTAAAAATAAATAAATAAATAAATATATAAATAAAAGACAGAAACGGCCTGGCGAAATAATTTTGTCTGTTCTCCAATGCTCTACATTTTTTGGGACAACTAAAAATCCTAAAGAGAGTCGAAAAGATTTTTATTTTTAATTTTAAACTATCAAGAGAAATTTAAATACACATTTACAAAGACTCTCCTTTTCTCTCTCTCTTTTATATGCGAAAAAGGACTTAGACATTCAACACGAGAACTTTAACTTGTGAACTCATTATATTTTATTTGAAAAAAAATTATCAGTACATGCAAAATATACCTCTTTGCATGCATTAAAAAAAAAAAATTGGTATTGGGATTAAAAAGACGTCATCCGATAATCAACCACCTGTAAACTAAACACATCACCCCCACCACGTATATCCTCACAAATTTAAAAATACGAATGGACCAGTTTATTTAAAAAAAGTTTTAAAATAAACATTGGAATAAAAAATGAAAATTATTTCTGATCGTAATGCATATTATTCGTACAACAATTTTAGATAATCTATTTGCTTTGTTAAAACATGTTTTTTCTCTTTCACAAATTCTGATAAAAAAAAGTTTAGTTTTCTGTTTTTTTGCTCTGTCATCACTATTGGTATGTAATTTTGTAGTTTTTTTTTTACATTTATTTAATGACTGAATAGAAAACGCAGTGATTGAGAATCGGGTCCCAACCGGAAAAATGTTTGTAATCTAGATCTATATAAAGATCTATATACCAAAAGTCTTTTTCTTTATGACAGAAAAAAAAACATCATCCTTGGAACTTCCAGGAAGCAAGGGGTTCAAAACAAACAAAAAAACGTGGAATATACAGGGTGGTCCGAAAGTCTTGTTACCTCTACCAAAAAGTAATGAGAACAATAGAACAAGTAATAAACTAATACTAAGCACATATACTGGGTTTAGTTTATTCACTTTAATTGGCGCTGTTACACATTGAGAAAGTCTGTATGAACACCATCATTTTCGGGTCATCTGAAATAGAAAAATTATGTAGGAGTGACAAGACTTTCGGGCCACACTGTAGAGTCATGATTACAGAAGGAACTTATTCTGGTTAATCACCGGCCTTAACTGTAAATCACTTTTTTGTGGTGTTTTTCTTTAAAATATTTAATATCAGCTCTTCAATTTTGAAGACATATAACAAGAATGTAGCTTAAGAACAAAAATTAAACTTAGTACTCTTTAAAAGAAAAAAAGAAAGTTGTTTTTTTTCTTCGTCACGAAATACGACTACAAAAAAACAGACTGTCTTTCAACATGCGTGTATTTTTCAGCCCTTAAAACAATTTTCAATTTAAAAAGGATTAAATTTTTTTGTAAAATTAAAGTCAAACGAATTAATTTTTCTGTCTTACCATAATCAGGGTTAGGTTGTACTGTCTTGATGCGTAAATATCTTCTAAAATTGGTGACTGCCGGATCTTCTATTTCGGTTGGAGGGGCCATTTTTAGCAGACTTTATGAACAATTCGGTGATTTAAAAGATATTATTATTCACCTGTAGTGAGAATGACCTATCAGTTTTTAAGAGGAAAATAAAACGACACTCGTTATTTAAGCTCTGATAAAAGAAGTAATTTATATCGACGAATCTTAATGTATTCCTCCCCTACACGTCATGTGTTCTGCTTCTTTGTTGTCGGCTATTTTCTCATTAAGTTTATTTAAAAAAAAACGTTTTTTTTTAAGAAAATCACTTATTTCAAGGAAACGTATTTATTTTCAATAATCTTTTTTTTTGAAATCAAGAAAAAAAATGGACAAAGCCCTATGAAGGCTTAACGGATAGTATAAAAACAATTTTTGAGTGGAATTATTTTTTGTGTAAAACAAGAAGAGGCACTCATTCAGAAGAAAAGTTTAATCGTCACGCTTATGTACCGCGAAAATTTGAGCTAAAAATCCTTTTAAAACTATATACCCGCAAAAGAAAAGAAAAAAAAAGGATAACTAAGTTTAAATTGAATTTTAAAAAATTAAAAATTCTTCCTCGAAACATTAATTTTAGAAAGATTAATTCCAAGCTAATAGATTAAATTTTAAATTTAATATTCCCAATTGAATAAACAAAACACTTAGACTTCGTGTATTTTATTTTTAGGTACCGCAACAAATTTGGGCGGTACCTAAAAATAAAATAGATTCGTTTTTTATCCGAAATGAAAGCAAAAGATGAAAAAAAAAAAAGCTCTTAAATAAATTTTGACCTTTTGCTATTTTTCCTAGACCTTGTTCTGCCATTCATTTATTTAAAACCAGCACCACATCATCATCATCATCATTATCATCATCCTTCTTTTTCTTCCATGTCCCTTTAGGTCGTTGTATGAGAAATAAGATAATATTGGCAGTTTAAGGTTAGCCAATCACCTTTTTTTTTCTCTTTTTTTTTTGAACAACTCTTTACTCTTGGTCCAACCTTCGAAATGACCACATACTGAACGGGTCATCTCTAAACCCTTATCATTACAGAGTCCGTGCATGGCGAGAAAATCAATTCACCCTGAGCAATAAGTTTGGTCGCAGACTCCATTGAGTTTACGAGGACCCATTTCTAATGTTGATTAAAATAATTTGAACAAATCATAAGTCAGTTGCGTTCTATTCTTTTATTATTACCTCGTCTGCATCCGTCACGTGGAAATCTTATATGGGGCCCACTCCAATTTCCCATAATTGGCGTTCATGGCTCTCCACAATTTCTTGTCCTTTGCAGCACTTGGTAAATTTGTCTTTTTTATTTACTCAAGCTCGCTTGGTGGGTTATGTTTAATAATGCTTATACTTTATTTCTTGGGAGTTGCAAATTTTCCAAGCACCCTTTCTTCATTATGTATCTTTGAAATTCCATCTGTCTTTTTCTGATGTTAAGCACAACTGTCCTTTTTCTTTTCGTTTTCTCTAAATGGTATTCTCAGCGTCCTTTTGTAGATACAAATTTATGTTACTTCAAGTCTCTTCTTCATATGTAAGGAGATTGTCCAGCATTCACAACCATATAGGAGGACTGACATTATGCAACAGTTCAGTACTCTTTTCTTTGTTTCTAATGAAATTTTCCCGTTTCTTAATACTTTTCTTAGCTTTTGGAAGGCATGTTTCTCTATCCTAGTGCGCCTTCGGATTTCAATGTCGCACTTTCCGTCCTCTGTTCAAACACTTTCCAGAAATGTAAATTTTTATACTTGCTTGATTATAGCATCTCCACTTTGTAATTTGAATGTTGGGCTGTTGCTGACAATCATAGATTATAACTTCTGACAATTGATCAATTTGTTCTTTCTTTTCGCTTTCCTTCACTACCTTCTGTAGTTCTTGTAATTTATTTTCTATCTCTGCTATCAACACTGTATTATCTGCATATCTTATGTTAAGATTGTGGCCGCCAATAATAAATCCTGGTAGGACTTCTAATTCTCTCTGGATTGCTTTGATGTACAAGTTGGATAAATCTGGTGGGAAGACACATCGTTCTCTTTCGCCACTTTCTATTTTTGCGTATTGAATTCATTTTCTATTCGTATGCAGGCTGTTTGCTCGCAGAATAGATTCTGGATTTTTTTAATATCCTTCTCAAATACAATCAAGCTAACTTAGCAGTTCAAATAGTTCTTCGTGACGTACTTTATTAAACATTCTTTTGCAATTATATTGCTATGCCAAAATAAAGTAATTATCAAATTTAAATTAAATGAATTGTATACTGAATTCATTATTTTATTAGAAAACTGTGAATTTTACTTTGTGTTTTGTTTGGAGAGTCAAATACCCTTTACCGTTTTGATAAATTGTGAACTCTTTTAATGAAACCTCAGTAGAAGAAAGGTTTCGATTTTTTACATTTAGAAAAGTTTATATATATATATATATATATATATATATATATATATATATAAAAGAACAGTAAGATATATAATCCGGTGTTCTTATAGATATTTTTATTTTTACAAAATAGTACTCAATGTAAATTTACAGAGCATTAATATTATAAATTAACTGATTTAAAATATGTTTTTTTCGCTACACAGTTCTAACCATGTTTCAAAAATGGAAGCTAAAAGCTTCGAATTTAATTTTATAATTGAATTAAAGACATTAGTTCCATTTCATCCTCAAGCGAATTTTGGAGTAACTTATTTTTAAAATTACTGGGTTTTAAAGGCACTGCAAAAATTCATATTTCATGTTTCCAAGGTTACAGAGCAATCCATTCATCCAGACAAGGGGTGGTTGCGTGTTCATTATCGCTGTATTTTGTTGTATCAGTTATTAGTTACGTTTGAAGAAGGGTTTTCATTTACGTAGGGGTAGGGATGTATTTTTCAACGAATTCTGACATCCGTTAAATGAATGTCGTCTGGATTTTTTTTTAAATTATTGTTAACGGCAAAAATTCTTACGACGTAAGTTGTATTAACTGCGCTTTCTCGGTCAGAAATAATATTCAATATATGACTTTTCAATGTAATCCAGATATATTATCTATACATCTCATCTCAAGTAAATCGAAACAGCTGTTCAAAAAAACACATACCAGAAAAACAATATACACGTCTACCTAAGTTGGCAAAATTTTAATCTTTATATATTAGCAATATATCACGTGATTTTCATTTGTTATAATATCTATCCTTAAAGATTTTGTTAGCGATAAAGTATTTAATTATGGCGTGAAAAACGGACATATTTAAATTATTTAAAGTTAAAAAAAAACAAAAAATAGGTGTATCCTGAGTGGTAGCACCTTTGCAGCGAAACGGTCGACCCTGCTTTACTCAGTTGAATTGGGATGTGGAACTGTACTGATCCATGGACGACACCCGACTCTCACACATGGCGCCAAGAAGTCGCATAGAAACAGCGATGGCCACACTCTAGTCAACGGCATCGACCTACCGGCTAAACTGTGTGAGCGTAGTCGGAAGGGTTTCCCGACCGGACAGTTAAAGGGGAACGCCTCTCCCTAACCCACGTAATCAATATAATAAATGCAAATGTCACTGTGTCACATTTTTTTTTTCAACTTTACTCCTAGAGGACGTAACCCAACATATCATGCCATTTTGGAATCAGACAGATTCCGTGAACCAATTAAAAACATTTTAGGTCGGATCCAGGCCCGCAATCCTGAAATTTTGGATTCTCAAGTTTTCATTACTTTTCAGCGATTTTTTTACGCGATTTTTGGCGAAGAATTTTTTATACGATAACAATTTTTATAACTTGGAAATAAATTCCGGAATAATCGAAATTAATTATGAAATCCAGCGAAAGTCATAAATGAAAGAAAAACAATTGTTTGTACAGAAAGTTAGGACCTACGTACATCAAATTGTCTTGAACGTTTTAGAACGTTGAACTTTTAAAAGGTAAGCTTGAATATTAATACGATGCTTAAATGCAGGAATCAATTTTGAGCTCTTCTGTACTTTATTCTTTCCTATCAAATATCATGATATATGCATGCATATATATATATATATATATATATATATATATATATATATATATATATATACATACATATATATATATATATACATACATATATATATATACATATATATATATATATATATATATATATATATATATATATATATATACATATATATATATATATATATTATAAAATAAAAGAAAAAGTTTTAAAGCTTTCTATTATATATATATATATATATATATATATATATATATATAAAATTTTGTATTGTCTCTTTAACTGCAACCTTCACCTCCCTGTTTAATTACAAAATTACACTACCCATCAATTTCTAATCACATTTTTCCTTTCATTTCATTGTTGGAAGTGTTACCTGATGAACCGAAATCCTTTAAAAAGGATTTTGGTGAAATAAATTATTATAATGGTACCTTAAAGTGTCTGTTTTTTCATTAAATTTTTTATATATATATATATATATATATATATATATATATATAATAAATGCAAATGTCAAGTCATATTTTTTCAACTTTATTCCTAGATGCCGTAGCCCAACATATACCATTTTGGAATAAGACCGATTCCGTGAACCAATTAAAAACATTTTAGCTCGGATCCGAGCCCGCAATTCTAAAATTTTGGATTCTCAAGTTTTCCTTGCTTTTCGGCGATTTTTTTACGTGACATTTTGCGAAGAATTTTTTGTACGATAACAATTTTTATAACTTGGAAATAAATTTGGGAATAATCAAAATTAATTGTGAAATCCAGCGAAAGTTACCCATGAAATAAAAATAATTATTGGTACGGAAAATAAGGACCTCTTACATCAAACTGTCTTTAAATTAAGTAGCGGCAGAAGAATTATAGTTAAACTTTTAACAGTTAAGCTTAAATATTAATACAATGCTTGAATGCAACGATCAATTTTGGGTTCTTCTGTAGTTTAATGCAGGAGGGCGGCTTTTAAGCTAGTTTTAAATATATCCATTTTTCAGGC